GACCCTGCGGATCGCTAGCATGGGGCAGATATTGTGTAGCACCCAGGTGACACTACTGATAGCTAGCAAGCGGATAGCGTAGGTAATTTGTAGCCTGAGTGACCCTACGGATGTTAGCATGGGGCAGATATGTGTAGCACCCAGGTGACACTACTCATAGCTAGCAAGCGGATAGGGCAGATAATTTGTAACCTGAATGACCCTACGGATCGCTAGCAAGTGGGAGCAGACAACTTTTGGTGCCCAGTGACCCTACGGATCGCTAACATGGTGCAGATATTGTGTAGCACCCAGGTGACACTACTGATAGCTAGCAAGCGGGTAGAGTAGATAATTTGTAGCCTGATTGACCCTATGGGTCGCTAGCAAGTGGAGAGGCACATAATTTGTAATGCCTAGGTGTCCATTCGTATCGGTAGCAGTAAATAGGGTAGATAGTATGAGGCTAGGTTAAGGCACAGATATTCTTATAGTGTCAACTTTAGCACAAATTATTCTCCCATTTTGGTCTTTGTGCGCTCACACCATCAAGAAAACGAACGTATCAGATCTTTGGAAGATTACAAAATGGCTGCTTGTGTGAACAATTTTGTGCAACTATCCAAGAATTACTATCCATGCAAAGCAGCTCTTTTCCTCACACTCCAGCTGAAGCTCTCTCAAAGTTCCTCTTGAAGACTTCTGCATGCTCTTGAAACTTGGTTTTCCTCCACTTTTATGGAAGTTTTCTTTAAAAGTAGTAGTTGCACCTGAACTACTATGACAGTAACGCAAATTTTAATTACAAGTCGTGTACGATGTTCAGACAACAGGGGTAGAGACAATGTTTAACCGAGTTTCTAGAGTAATTTGATAGAATTTTCTTGCAACAAAAGCATCGGCTTGGAGCTCCACCAAATCTTTTATATTCCATTAAGATCATCCTGAAGTCGTTCACAAATGTTCTCTGAGCCAGGTTTTTAGATGTTTTGGAAATCGCTGCGCTACAATAGACCCTTGTGAATATATTTCACTTTCTTCCCTAGACCCTTACCATTTCTGGCTTATGTAACGAATTCGCCTTTTTTAGAAACATTTTGAAAAGCCCTTCAAGTCCAATGTCTTAAAAAGTTGGTATAAGATTTGTACAAATAACGAACCTTTGCAAAAACTTTGCAAAGAAATGACTCGTTTTCGTTCCAGTATTTTGCCAAATTGCGAAAGTATTGTCAGATCCAAGCCATTATAGAATAAAATTGCATAAACATTGCAACTTGTGTGCAAACAGAATTTTTTCCTCCTTCCAGCTGCTGTAACCGCAATGTGATTCATTGCGAGAGTGCTGAGATAATCGTTGGAATTTACAGCCCTTGATTTTTACCATGTCTTTCGCTAATTTTCAAAATTTTCACGTGAGACTTTAGGAGACGGTTTGATAGCAGGCAACTTTTTGCCATTTGAACCAATTTTTTGCAGCCATACGGCTTGTGTTTCAGAATTCCTAAAATCAAATTTATAGAGCAACATAATTTCACGCGGCGTACTTTAAGCTCGTAAAACACGAAGTGGTAAGCAGTTCAAGTATCACGTAAATTCTCCTTTTTCTAATAGTTGTCTTTTCATATCATGACGAGACAAGCGAAAACAAAACGACAATTTCCCAATTTCACTGGTGCACACTGGTATCCTAAGTTTCGAAATCTTCACAATTTGAGGCGGAAATCATCATTACTTTGTAAGGTTAGCAGTAGCAGTAATGTATTAAAACCTCATTCCGAAGATTTAGCAGTGTTTGTTGCAACAGGTTATGCGAGTTTTGCAAACTCGAGACTTTTGGGAAGTTATTTAGCAAAATTCCAAAAAGGAGCTTAGAAAAGAGGAAAAATTTTTTAGCTGGCAAAAGGTTCGCTCTAGCTGGTTATTGAAACTTTCGCAAAAGTTTCAGACAGAAAGTTCGAAAAGTAGCGAAAACTGGACCTTTTGAACAAAGTGTTGTACATCCCAGCGATAATCAGAGCACTCTCTTAACAAATCACACGATTAATACAGCAACTGGTAAGAGGAAGAAATTCTGTATCAAATACATTTCGAAGCGTTTGTTTATCTCTATAAACAGTCCCAATTGCAAATCACAAGCATCCAAAACCGCCGACCTGACGAAGTGCCAAGTGTCTCATTGCGTAAACAAATTGACCGCAGCATCAAAACGGCTCCAAAAATAGTCATGCTGAACCGCGTAAACAATCTCAGGCGCCATTTCTGACACAGTGCCAAGTGCCCCACTACGTAAACAAACGTATCGTCAGCGTCAGAACCACCGGCAGAGCAGCAGTCGACAGAGTGTGAACCCAAATGCACCCAGAAAACTCTCACTCCCTGCCTTGCATTCATACCTAACCGCTCATTGATGAGTACGTTATTTTCGGCGTGATAGCCGCCTCTCATGCAACCCGACCACCTCCGCGCTCTCCCTACTCACTTGTCTAGGAAGGTGTGGCTAATAATCTGGAAATTGCACTCTTACCATTCGTTAATATATACTGATGTATGTATGTATGTATGTATGTATGTCTGTACGTATGTTCCGAATAGAAAATTCCATTTCTGAACCGATCGGGACCAAACTTGGCACACATACACTTCGGGCCCCGGCGGGTGTCATAGGCTACTTTTCGTCATCGATCGATATCGATTTTATCGATTTTTTGCAAAATTTGAGCTACGGCTGGGAATTGGCACAGGGGTGTAATCGAGCATGCTGATCACCCCCGTGGGGCTGATCAGCATGCTCGATTACACCCCTCTGCCAAATTCAGCCCCCTAGCTCAAATTTTGCAAAAAATCGATAAAGTCGACATCGATCGATAACGAAAAGTGGACTGTGACACCCGCCGGGGCCCGAAGTGTATGTGTGCCAAGTTTGGTCCGGATCGGTTAAGAAATGGAATTTTCTATTTGGAACATACGGCGGAGCCGGGTAAGCCATCTAGTAATGGACAATTCCAAAAAATAATATTGTATACGGAATCGCCATGCCCACTTACCCCCCTTGCCAACTCCCAGCCCCTTAGGTGAACTCTGCAAGAAATCGATAAAAATCGATAAAAGAAAAATCGATATGGATCGATGACGAAAAGTAACCTACGGCACCCGCTCCGCCCCGTAGTGTATGTGCCAAGTTTGGTCCGGATCGGTTCAGAAATTCAATTTTCTATTCGAAACACACATACAGACATCCAGACAGACAAACAGACATTTAGCTTTATATAAGAAGATGATATGCACACCAAATTCTAGAAAAACTTTCCATCCTATGAATAGACAGAGCGCGGACTCGATTATATTCCAATCGCCCCGCTGGCTATGTGACGGAGGCCATCAGCATGACTCAACTCGTACGCAACATTGCGTAATTGCATCGTAGTCATGTTGTATTGTGAACAGCTCGAATAAAATCCCTATTGTGATTGCGGAAGTGCTGACAATGTTTTGCAAGTTTTGATATGAAAACTGCTGCAAGTCGACCGACTTTGAACAGGGATCTTTTTTCCGGACCACTACGATCTCCATTCGCCATTGAAGAACTGTTAAGATGAGGGGTGAGAGGCGGAATTTGCTCCAAAACTTGTTAGGGAGATCTATGTGTGCAATGATTTTTTTGATAGTGAAGATCTCTTCTCATAGCTTTTGCACTTTCGCTCCGCTTCCATACTGTTTACCCTTTACCTTTTACCATTAAACACCATAAACAATTGATTCAACAGTTTGACTCTTCAATTCACTTGCAAGGCAATTGAAGATCTAATGATTTTCAAGTCTTTGATTCGATCCATTTGACAGCTCAATACTGTCTGGGTTATTATAAGAACCAATATTTTTCCAAAATAACAGATGTGATGAGAATTGCCTTGAAACCCCACACTGGATGCGAAAAACTGTCTTAGCTAGCGAGGAATAATTTCAAAAAATATGTCAAACTTACCCGTACATCCTGGCATCGAGGTTTCGGGTCCATGACAGCTGTCCCTCCTCTCTGGGCGAGCTTAAAGCCTGCTGGGACAATCACCCCGACGACCGCTTCCAGCAGGTTGCATCCGCAACCTCTCCCCCTTTTCTCTCTACCCCTCTATTTAATCTAAACAATAAGCATTGATATATTAGTCTTACCACCCCGCTACACATCGGGTAAAGAATTTGCAGACCTTTATCCTGACAGGGAAGCATTTGGTGAATGATTTTCGCCATGCTTAGGCCCGTCGATGGACGGGCTTAAGCAGTCCGGCGAGAATATAGGGATCGAGTGAGAGATTGAAAGATATCGTTTCAAGAAGTTCCACTGTTTCACGGAGGAGCAAAAGACAGGCCTGTTTGATAGGCAGCGATGGAGTTCTGCAGAAACTTGCGAAAGGTCATCTTTTCTCAAATTCATTTGCGGAGACTTTCGTACTCCTACGATCTATGTCGTATTAAAAAACTCGCAAAATTTTTATTTTGTGGAAAGATTTGCTTTTTGGATCTACTAGTTACAATGAAATTTGATGTTAGTTATCCTGAAGAAAACGATTTGATGTTGTTTCTGCCTCTTTTGACCAGAATTGTCAGAACACCGGCGAAAGTGATCTCTCCAACAATAAACCCGACAGCTCCAAAAATTACAAAATAATAGTCTTGAAACCTAAAAAAAATTCCTATAACTTTTCGGTCCGTATAGGCAGCTGTTGGGTGGTTCCCACCTTGATTTTATTGGGACCAGAAGTTTTCGGAAACTTTCTTCTACTTCATTTGGAAAAATTGATTGGTCCGCCTTTAAAATCCATACAGCGAGTTCTTTAGGGTCAAAGCATTCGCTTAAGGTAAAATAAATTAAAGTAAAAATATAGATCTAGATTTTCCCCGAGTAAGAAAATCACCCCCTAAGTCATACCGATGATTGATCTCTTCAGCTGTTCTAACCACCACAAAATTTCTACAAAGAACTTTAAAGAGGAACAAGAAAAATGGAAGTTTCGCAAAATTTGCCCTTACGATGAAGTATCTGTTTTCTTATCGCAAATAAATGTAATGTTTCTCTTGTTTGTAGTCGTATTTCTAGCACCAAGCAGACTTGCAAGTGTAGGACGGCATTCTTTCTTGTTCTTCGGAATTTCGAGTAAACTAAGATGGGAGAACTGGTCCCTGAACATTTTCCGAAAACTTTAGAACCTACTTGTCATCATAATCAAACATGATCGCGCCCATGCCAGCCGCACTTCTTGCGAAAAGAATTTTCTTCTTCTTTCTATTTTCAGTGGTTATCTATGTTAAGAAACTTGCTTGTAGAGGAAAAATGGAAATATCCGTATGTGGTGACACACATATTGCAAAAGTTGGAAATCCTCGCTCTCATAAACACCTTCATCTTCACCTACAACCGTGATGAAATAGTTGTCCATACGTCGTCCAAGGCTTGTTTCAGCTATCTCACGACATTCTAAAACTCTTTCCATTCTGATTTTTCCGGGAATCATCTTGTAAATTTTAAACATCCCTTTGGAAACTTCTTGCTCTGCAGCAAGCATCGCAGGAATGATCAAGACGAGGACACCAATCATGGCTTGAGCACATGGAACAAATGAACTCAACTAAACTTCTCCCGGTTGATCCTTCATAACAATTGTTGTTAGAAGCATCGTCCACGCTTTTCATCTTCTGCGTTTTATCATTCTGAGACTCTTTGCAGTGATAGGTGGTGTAATACGTGTAAACCTTAGAAACCGTTTGGAGGGTCCCCTTTTTGGACCCTGTTTTGGCAAGCGCGCACAAGTGCACTGAAGCTTTACTGCCTGAGGATCAGGAAGGCCAGATGGACCTGGTTCAATTTCTGACCATCAAATACTCCTGAAGACGTTCGCCCTTTGACAAGTCTTCCCTCATAAATCTTCGATGGTTCAAAGACACCGTTCACCAAGAATCTTGAGATTCTGATGTTATGTAATAACCAGTGCGTCACCTCCGCTTCGCGGAGGTTCGCACTGGCTCCCTATCCGTATGCCTTTCTCATGTTCGCATGAGAATGGCTTTGAAACTCACCACGCGATGCTGAGCATCACAAATGAATTGTAAACAACTGTTCATTCATGAAGCATCTCCATGTAAGAGCGGTAATTTTGCGAAAAAAAACTTTGTTGCAAGGAAGCAAATGCGAATTTGAACGGATTACTGAATTTATTTTAGTTTGATAATCGTCATAAGGATAACAGTCACCTTGGGCCACATTTTAGTACGAAAATTTTTCAGTTTATTCAAATAAAACCTTGCCAAATCGACTATCTACGCGTTCATCACTTTTTAGCGCTGTTTTCGCAAAAAAAAAACTTTTTGAGCAATTTTTGGGCCAGAATTCATGGCGCGCAGAGTTACTGTCAGGCAAATCATAATTTTGTGAAAAGTCGAATTAGCGACCCAGTTTTGGGGGCCAAAAGGCGCGTAGACCCGTTTGACGCGCAAAGGAGGGACCCGCTTATCGAACCGGCTCGTCCTTGTGCATGGTGGGTACACGCCGGCATGGTATGTTATGCAAAATTGCAGCCCGATAGCTTAGTTGCAGCTTCCTCTATGAATTTCAAGACAGACAGATTTTCACACAGACACACACACAAAAAAACAGACGGCCTTAGCGCATTATTATAGTAGGATGGCCTTCAAGTAATTCAATTGTCCAGTTTATTCCGTGAAATGTTGATTCGGAAGCGAGAAATTCGTTCCGAAAGAAGGATTCCGCACTGGTGGCTACGCCCTCATGTCCGCTACGCTCTTCCAAAAATTCCTTGCTGACGCGTTCCGATTCACATTCGAGACACACACTATGACTTTGCGTACCTTTTTGCATAAGGCCCTGGGCATACCTCACTCGATTTGGCAATTTACCAGAAGTCTTCAAATTCAATACTGGCAGCCCAAATGCACAACATGTATAACTTTGTAGGTTGATAAAGTGCCCTATCTCCTCTACATTGAGAAAGAAACCCCTTACGATGGGTTATGGACAGCTGGAGTGTCAAATCGCATGAGGTATGTCCATGGCCTAGGACGGAAATTTCGTGACGTACGACGAGCAGAGTACTAATCCACGTTAGTCAATATAGGGTTTCATAGAAGGTGTAGGGGAAAATTTGAAGGCTTCCACGTACTCTGCACCTTATATGAAAAAATCAAAGTTAGGGAAAGACTAGAATTCGGTGGCACGGGAAACCCTCAACATAAAAAAGGTCCTTGATAAGGTGAGGTTAACCAATGCGCTAACCCCGGAAATCCACTTGAAAAGAGCGAAAATGGCAAAGAAGAGTATTTTCAAATTCTCTTCATTGTGAACTTGGACGAATGGAATATCCAGGATTGGAAATGCAGTCGTTTCGAACCTTTATTGCTATAACATCGCCATGCGCCTCCAATGGGGAGAGGAAGCGAACCGTTCCGAGCGCCCAAACTAAATGCGGGTTTTAGGGCAATTTTCTCGGCAAGGGCCATGCTGTGCGACTGTACTTGCCAAGTTTTTTCATATTTGGGGAGTAAGCAACCTACCACATGAGAATACAAGATGTTTTTGCCAACCCTTGCCTTGAGAATGATTGAAACAAAAAAGCCGAAAATCTGGGTGGACGATGCCTTTGTTTTTCTAAGATTGATACGGGACAAAAGTAATTTCAACAATTCGGTAAATTCAGTGATATCATGCTATCACAGATTTTTTATCGTTTTTTTTTGATGTTTCATTGTTTTTATATACATTTTACAGTTTTCTGAGTGAGAAAAATACGCAGAGGCCGGGAATAGTGTTTTTTGAACATCTCAAATATGGGCATTCAAAGCGCTGGAATGGCAAATGGAATCCGTTTTGTCAAATTCTCGTTCAAGTATATTATGAAGCCTGTATCTAGCAATTGTTGATTTCTCAGAGTGCGAAATTGCGAATTTCGAACTTTTTCTCTTGCTTTTTTATGAACAGTAAGTATGATATAATGTTTTCCGAACCCAGACTATTATGGTGAAATATTATGATTTATTTTACACAGACAACTGATTTGATTGCTTCATTAGCAGTGAGAGGTCATAAAACGATAGCAGCTGAAAATACAAGCCTCTTGTACGTTGCATACAATATTTACAGTAATGACAAGAAAAAGAGTCATTTGAATTATGCACCATGTACCTAACATTAGCAATGATGATCATGATCTTCAAATAATAGTTAGTATATATAAGCTGATGTTAGTCTTCAAGAATCAACAGAAAATGCGGAATTTAGTGAAGAAACAACCTAGCGATGGGATCGGAGGAGTCATAGAAGGTACTTGTAAAAAATATGATAGAAATAATCACAGATCATTATTCAACTATAACAGATTTCGACGCAAACTCGCTACGTACTTCCATCACTCGTAACGGCCTGATTCTCTTCCTGATCCTGGGTTGTGGTGCCGTTCGACTGGCCATTCCGGTTCAGCAGCTCCTGGAATGGATTTTCATCCAACAACTGCAAAAAATCTTCATTGCTTCGAGTTCTCCAAGCGGGGAATTCAGAGGTGTAATTTCAAAAAAAAAAACAACAGGTGAAAACATTGGTGTGAGCGACGCGAAACTCAGAAAGCATAGCGTTGAAATCCCTCTAGCATTCCCTCTCGAGCGCACCACTTTGATGCAATGGGTTAGCTTGTTCTCAAACCTACGACTGAAACAAATTCGCTGCTACTTCAAGCTCTGACCAAGATTTTGGTTAGTTAGAAAAGAAACGGGGAAAATGGAGTAACAATCACGGAGAGTGCAGCAACCGCATGCATAGTGTAAGGCATCAAAACAAAAAGACAATGAAGGGTGCACGTTTCAGTCACGTTACAGAGTAGGAGTATTCAGGAACGACTTCAAGCACCCACTACTAATCTCTCTTCCCCCCCCCCCCCCCCCCTCACCTTTACCATACCATGTTAGAGATAGCGCTGACGCTGGTACGATGGTACGTAATTTGCATGTTCTCTCATTTATTGTAGCGAACCTATCCAAGATCCTTCACTACTTCATTGAGAGGTGGGGGAGGGGGGGAAGGAGGGAAAGGGAGCGAGAGAACGATTGACACTCATCATTTTAAGCACTCATATTCTACAGAATTCTTAATACCCAAAATGTGCCCGCACACTACCTCTAACTGAGAACAGTAGGTGAGAACAGGGTTAATAACTCATGCAAAAATAGCTTCCATCTCTACTGATACTCACCACTGCCGGAGGATGCCTCGTATAACGTATCTAAGAAAGCTTCGTGCAGTTAATGCATGCAAAAAGAGAAGTCTTTATGAGAAACATGCAGAAACTACCAAAAAGGAAGAAAAAGGAGAGGAAAAATTAAAAGAAAAACATGCATATAATAACAGAAATGAAGGTAACACAACTCACTATTTGTTCTGGTTGCACTTCTCGTCGTCTGTTAGACTTGAATCGTTGCGCTATACCTCGAATTATGCTACCAGGAAGTCGCTGATGCTGCCGTATTAAACTTCGTACTTCCTTCTTTATTTGTTTACGTACCTAAAAATCATGACTCGTGCCAATGATTTTCAAAAAGGGAACAGCACACTTACTTCTTCAGGCGTGATGATATCGTAATCAAAGACCATGGGTTTGCCAAGATGTGTGATCATTTTCACAGGAAAGCCTCCATAAATGGGACACAGCGGCATTTTTGTCTTCTCGTAGACCCATCGGAAGAAACTTCGACCCCATACGGGTGTACGGAACGATTCACGACAATTTTCCGTAAACATCGGTATGACAGGCTTAACTAATAGAATTAGAGGCTTGATCAAAACAAAAAACAGCTCTTACAGTTCTTGCATTGATCACTACTCGTGCAAACCCTAAACGTTTGCCCCACAACATATCATAGACGTTCGGATCAGAGAATAGAGCCTCACGGACACCTAAAATCGGTAAGATAGAGAGAATGTAAACAACTCTGCTCATAAAAACTCACCTCCAGGAGCTATGCACAACAGATTACCCTCCCTTAGTTGATTTGTACATTCTTCAACAGTTCCAGCCGTAATTGAAAAGACTTTGCAGATTGCACTCCATCCTACGAATAACATTATTCGATCAAAAGGAAAACAGAAAATTCAGCAAACAAATTTACCTGGAATTTTGAATATGAACTTGTCACCAACGCAGTGAAGTGAGCGATTTTTGTAAAGTACGAGTTTAGCGATGACATAGTATACATCTAACGGTAGACACCCGTGATAATAGATAAAGAGGGCAGGCCCTTGGTCTGGCACATTTTCGATGCCGTGTAGTTCGTAGCCTGAAGAGTGGGATCAAATTCGTTTGGTGAAAATCGCAAATGAAAATAATATAAGACATTTTATCTCAGGAAAGGCACAGTCTTATCTAACAGTTTTAAGCAAAACTTCTCAAGCATGCTTGATGCGCAGAAAATCTATTTTCTTTATACACTTGAAACATGAATGTTCAAATAACAATGATATTCCATAGTTTCAATGAGAGAAACATTCACGCAGAAAAATTCAAATTTTGCTAGTAAAGGGGGATCTTTTGATAAACGAGTGTCTCAAATGCAAAATTAAAACAGATTAGTGACATTAAGAAATGGATAAAAAATAACAAAGAATCAATAAAACACTAACCATGCCAAACATGTCCAACCGCATCCCAGAATGATGTGATGGCTACACGTGCACCATTCCAATAACTAGTATGATAAGCTTCGCGAATCTGATGTCGCAGTCCATAGATGTGTAGAAATATGACGCATCCGTAGATGAACACTACCAAGAATATCGGCACAACAAAAACAATGATGATCGGTAGAAACAACCAAAGCAGATACTGAAAAAAGACTTTGCAATCACTTTCATCAAAAAAGGAGATGAGGCATGAGAAAAATATGAAAAGTCCAATAATTTACCTCATCCCACTTGCTATTTATCACATCCACAATTAAGCTAAGAGGCCATATGTACGGCATAACCGCAACAGCATATTACTTTTCTCAAATATGTAATTTTGGCGATTGAATTGAACATTTACGGGCATAAAAACGCTACGAATAATTTACATCAAAACTTCAGATATAGCGATCACATATGCGAACTGCATTTGTAATGATAAAAGCTCCGAAATCATATGGATTTGATCATCAAAAAAAGTTTTTTTTCACCTCTGTTCAACTACTATTCGAAACCCCAAGAGCATCTCGACTCTTCAGCAAGAATATTTAGCTCCAATATGATAGATCAACTTGTGAAAAGCTGTTATCTCTAATGGTGTAAAGGATCATTCGGTCTCAAATGAGGGCAAGGCACGAAGTATCAAGTTAGCACATAAGTTTTCCAACATAGTCCACAACTTTTCTCTAGATGTAGCGCTCTCATTTTTTCAGCATAATGTAAGTGATGGTTAGCTACAAATCTGCGCAACGTTTTGTTTCTGATAGCAGAGAATTTTGCACATTTTCTGAAAGCTGGTCAAATCAAAAATTTCATCGGGCTGAACAAAAAACAAGTAATTCTCTGCCTGCATTAAACGCATCGAACCGAAACTGTATAGGTTGTTAGCCTTTATGTAGCAATCATCTTTGTACAGTTTCCTCCTAATGCGTTTGATGCAAGCTAAAAACGGCTTTATTTTTGTTTTTCGCACGGTGTAATTTCTGATTTGTCCAGCTTTCAAAAAATGAGCAAATTTAGCCACAAAACGGTTTGCGCTGATTCGTAGCTCACTATCTAGTCTACATTACATAAGAGAGTGAGAGCGCTACATCCAAGAGCAAAAAGTTATGGAACAAGATGTAAAACTTGTGTGCCAACCTAATATGAACTCTACGAATGCAAAAGATATTGACCAATCAAACTGAGAGCATAAAAAATTGAATTTCTGTGAATTTTCCAAAAATCAAAGGAGAGTGAAAAAGTTTGTTTATAGTTCAAAAAAGATATTCAGTGACTTATTATTTGCAGCCACAGAGGTAATAGCCACACCAAGCAATCTATGAGATGACCCTTCACCTATTGATTTATACGATTTCAATCCGGATCTGCAAGAAACGAGAACACTATGCGATTGAAATTGAGGCCGCGTTGGTGGCTATTCGATTTCAGCAAATTATGCTACGAATTTTTTCTGGAAAACCTCTCACGCAAATTATTGCGTTGCATCTACTCGAAAAACATGTAAGAGTGGAAAGAAAAGATGACGGATCGGTGCAAACGGAAGAGTAGCCAACCGCAACAAGAGGCACCATATAGGCCAAGGATCACGCCGTGGTCTTTCCAGCAAACTACGAGCGCACTAAAAAGAGTGTTGGACTACGACCGATGCAGCAGAAGAAGACTTTGCATGTGTCATCGATCCAAAAGGCAAAAAAAGTTGAGAAAGTTTGTGGAACGTCAAAGTAGCCAATGAGTTTACACGCAAGAAAAAACCAACAGCTCTTACGACTACGAACAAGTGAATGACAACGCCAATGTTGTGAAAACCACGTGGAAAACTGGTGAGTACAGGTAAAATTCTGAATGGACAGGTGAAAATGACAATGTTCAAATAAAAAGGGCATATCAGTGAGGAGCGTCAAGACACCCAAAAAAGGACTAAGGCTATCGGTGTCATCGTGCCTAATTAACCTCTATGACCTTTGCGAAAATCACTGGTGGAGTCAGTGATGGAGTGAGATGTTTCCTAGATGAGAGGGGGGATCTTTTTATCAAATATCTTTCCAACGTTGCATATATTCTTTAGAAAATTTCAAGATGCTGTAAAGTTTGGCAATCCCATAAATCAAGACAAAGCTAAGAAAAACCAAAATTTGAAAAGGATAGGCGCAGTATGTCAGAAAAGTTTCGGAATAGTTTTGTAAGTACAAAATCAAATCAAATTTCAAAAAGCTTGTAAAACTGATTCTAATTATCTCTATATAAAAAGCAGAAAATCCGTGTACTTGTCTGTCTGTGCACATTCCCCATAGCCATGAAAGATGAGAGGTGAAACGCTCATAATAATGACCTGCTGGTCATCAAGATATGGTAAGGACACTAGAAAGCAAACCCAAGAGAGTCAGAATCAAAAAAAGGGTAAGTTTCGCTGCAAGAGGGTTCAAGCACGATGGAGGCTCCAGAAAGGGTTGGAACCCGGAATGCCAGCTCGTATAACAAATAGAGTAGGCACTCAATCGTATAATCTAGAAAGAAAATGAAATTTCGTAGCTGTCGAAGATTTGCATGCAAGCCAGTCGCTGGATGGAAAGGTTATCATATACGGTATATATACGGTATTGTATGCATCTTTGAAATAGGCCTTAGTAATGAGTCCCAAAATTACATTGATTTAGATATTTGAATGCAACCTGGTTGTGGGAAAACAAGAGTATCGATCAATTGAAAAAAAAGCTTCATGTCTGAGGCACATAAATCATTATGCCTTTAGGGCCTTGATCGCAATTTATCATAGAAGACAACTCTGCGCTTACACAATGTATGGCAACATCGAAAATTTCTCGAAAAACTTCCAACATCTATCTTTCTTTCTTTCTTGGACCTAAGCATTGTGGACACCTAAACTAGTTCTATTCAAAAACTGATCATTTATCAATATTATATGCAAAAAACACTTCTGAGAGATGGCTATTTCTAACTTGAATAACGCATGAATTATAGAGGAAATCAGAGATGTTTCTAGTTGCAAATGTCTAATCAAACCATGGAACCAGTGTGTTTTAGAAAACTCTCAGATAGTTTCGAAAAATCAAACACAAAATTTGTAGTCAAACTGAACATCGATTGGCCATCAATGACTACTCGTTTGTCAGTCAAAGGACATCGTTTTCCGAAATGCACTTCAATTTGGGAATAACAGCGATTATGGGCAATTCAGCACACGCAATGGAGCCGCACAATCGAAAGGGAACAAGGTTAAACTGCGAAGTAGAACAGTCGGAAATGGGAGCTTTATAAACAATTGCCGAAGATTGAGAGTATAGATAAAGAAGGAGTTATGCGGTTGCATAAAAAAAATTGCGAAAAGCTTGAATGTTTCTCTTTCTGACAATAATGGCATGTAGAAGGATTTGTTCACGGACACCACATATCTGCTCACAATGATGCCAGAAATATAGATAACTTCGAGCTGATATCCACTGATCTGGCAGCGTGATTAAAATGGATAGAAACATCTCAATAATGGCAATTTAGACTTCTCCAATATACCATTTAAGAAACAAAACTTGGCTTAATTTAACAGCTGATCGATATATAGAAGCGGGAAATAGCGCACACGTTTATGTCGAACAAACATATGGGAGTGCTCGTTTCACGTCAGCATACGCACATGAGCGAAACCAGAGCAGAGCGGCGGATGAAAGCAGAAAATGTAGCTTAATATGCACTGAATTCGCTATCGATTTTGTTTGGAAAGCTGAACAAAAGTGCAAAGATGTACAGAAAAAGACAGCAAAAAAGGTGGGGCAGCTGATAAAATACTAAAGAACAGAGCAAAAATTGCGATCTTGGTCAATGAAAAGATTGGCAACACAAATTAGTTTGCTTGCAAGAATCATCAGTGTTGACGAACCATAAGAAACTGTTTAAAAAAGCACCTAGGGTATATCAACGTCAAGATTCGCGCTACAATATGAAAAGCTTTTTACAGCAAGCATGCTTGATATCAAAGCATGGTGAGATTACGATTTCAGAAAAATCAGAATACCAAGGGAATAAATGTAAAGACAAGAACTCAAAGCCTCTGCCACCGGTGAAGTCAGGAATGAGTGACGAGAATGAAGTGGAACCTGTTTCAGTGACTAATGTTGATCGACACTGACTCAGCTCACAGTAAACTCACAAAAGTATGGTCTCATCGAAAAACAAATTTCAGCAAGAAATTATTTCAGGTAAGTTGAGTAACGCGGATAAAAGATAAATGAGAAGAAATAACGAAACAGCACGCGGATCGATCAACATAGGTAGACTGTAGCCACAAAAAAAGATTTAATTTTCCTAAAAGAAACTCGCTGTGAAGACAAAGAAAGGAAAGGTGCAGTCTCCAAAGGACTAGACAAACAGTGAGATGAATACTCTTATGAGCAGAAAAAATCTCTGAATAATACAGTCCAGCAGGCATATTCAACTAAAGTCAGTCTTAAATTAAAAAAAAAACTGTAAAGATTCGCAAGCAAAAGCAGATCTCACCTCTAAATAATCTAAATCAATGTAGTCCACTGCCCAAGTTATCCATAAAAGGAGTACTTCGACATGCGGTTGTAAAAATCCGGGCCATTCCACATCTACAGTAAAAATAACGATATTTTGAGGATATGAACCACTAAATGAATAAAATTACCTTGTACTGCCTGAATGAGATTGGATATGGCCATGGCACGGGCCCACCCTCTGATAGATAGATCATAATGCGTTAAGATTATCAAACGTGAAATGCACGTAAGCGGGAAATAGTTTCGCAGTGCTTGATACACGGATGCATGTAATCAACAAGATGGCGTACATACCCTTTTATTCCATTGAGCACATTTTTTCTAAGCTGAGGTACAAAGCGAGTCTTTCTGAGGTGAAGGCCGAGGTAAATTATAGTTCAACAGACATCAATATCAAATACAATCAAAAAACTAAGTCTTAGTTACAGCTCAATCAATTTCTTCCTTCCATTTACCTGTGTCATAGATGGAAACGGCACTATCGTCCATCACTAGTCTTAAAAACAGTCATTCTCGATGGAACAAAGAATATGGTCTGGAAAACCTGTTTGGGGAAACGCACCTTATCTTGGCAGTTACAAACGGTGATTTTTCGTCATCGCGGACAGCCATGACGTCCAAATAACCGCCCGATACGACACCACTGACAGGAATTCGTAACTGAAAAAATGAGATTATGAGAGAGCAACAAAATCAATGTCCTTACCATGCTAGTAGTTTTTCCTACATAATTATGACGTCGATCTGCGAGATCCACGGCACCCAGCCGAATGGGAGGGCCCAGAGCTTCCTGGAGAAAGTAGCAATGAGTCACTCATGTAATGTGTTTATCCATTACGTGAGCGACTTTATCAAAGAAACAATTAGACAAAAACAACTAATGACTCATTTCGGTTGATGGAAGGCAGAAATGGAATAACCTAAAATGGATAACTCAAACAAATCCAAAGACAGATAAAAAAGAAAGAGAGAAACATTAAGCAGACTCTTCCAGCTTCATTTTTTGCTTGAATGCTTATATGCCTAACTTTTGCTACTAGTGTTGACTGTATTGATCATTGTCCTAAAGTAATGAAAATAGAGAGTGGTAGATAAAGTGAAGCTTATGCATAACAGAAACAAATTGTGCTAAGAAAAAGTCATTCTACATCAGAAGCTATGGAGCGAGAATAAAATAGAAATGAAGCTGACAATCAGCCTAAAATCAAAGCTAACTGTAGAAAAGTATCTTAAGGCCTGATTCAGTAAAAAATACAAAAGAGTGACAAGCAAAAGTAGATCATACCCTAGCTTTGTCGTGTTTCCCAACGATATGAAGACTTTCCAAGTAATGAGGTAGTTTTCGTACACGGCGCTGTACAGATTTCTGTGCTAAATACAAACCCGTTGACCCAACCAAAAACGTTCCAGCAGCGATCTTGACTAGTGTGGAAGTTTGCACCTACAAAAACATGATTGAGAGGAAAAATCAGAGAGAACTAGTTCTTGCAACTACAACAATCAAAAAGATAAAGGCACCCACCATGGTGGTGGAAGGGATGATGAGGTAGTATCAGGAAGGATCTCGATCTCGAATTTCAAGCATTCAGATCTATTACTGCAAGATTTTCTGCAAAATCGAATTGTATTGTAAAAGAACAGAAAATAACTGGAAAATAACTGCAGCCACAGAAACGCAAGTGTAGATGTGTGATCGCGCTGTCTGTACAAACATGACTAATATAAAAACTTTATTGCTCAAATGCGGTAGGAAAACATACGAAATGCGAAAAAAATGTGAGGCTGACAAATGTTTAGAAAAGAAACTGAAGGCACATGCGATCATTCATCTTTATACAAAGTCCATGCACATGTTTGACCTATACCTGCCATACCGACAACTTTCCACCCTTCCTTTTCCAAGAGATTCAGTACTAATCGAGGAGATAGCGGCGTGGAGTACTCCTAAATACAACTTCAAAGAAAAAGTTTAAATTTAATGCAGTAAACTTGCCACAAATTCGTTTCCCAGCTGCTGTGATGGCTTAGCTTGTAACCTTCCCATTAGATCGATATCACTGTCGCCATCTCCAACAAACGTTGGTCCAGCTTCGAGACGAATTTGTGTCGAGATTAGCATGTATGGCATTCTGTTACGTTGCGTAAATGATGTCACACGGCAGGGTTGTTTACACAAACAGCGTGCAACAAGGTTAATGGCGATTAGAGTAACAGAACCCGTTTTTTAGGTCGAGAAAGAAGGATAGTGTCTGATAATAAGGGCGTAGAATGTAAGGAAAAAGAGGACTGATAATGAATGATAACTCTCAGAGCAGATTGCATGAAAAGGAGATGGAAGAGATCTACACAGACATAAAAGATTTTGTGTCTTACAAAGAAGCTATAGACACAGTTTAGCAGAAAGAAAAATTCGATAAAACGCAAAAAAAAACGGAATTCCTCTCACCAGACGATTGACATTAATGGCGATTTGCACAGAAGAACAAAAGTCTACAACAAGCAGAACTATTTATAACACTGTGATCGATCATAATAGGGTAAAGAATATGGGAAGGAAATACATGCTTCTCCACTGTTTCAAAAAAAAAAATGATTAGGTGAAAGACACTTGTGGGAAAAGGGCAACTCTGGCCGAATCAATCACGAACGACCAAGTTTGACGAAGTGGTCAGGAAAAATCTACTCGATTTGAATGAAAAAGTGGGTAAAATCGACTAAATCAACCCAAAAAAATGCATTCATAGTTCAATTCAAAGGTGTTTACAGCAAAGAAGATGAATATGATGAAAAAAAATCAGACAAGAAGCGGTATAGCCGTGCATGATGAAAGGACGAATATTTGGAAAAAAACGCAAATCACCACTCGTAACAGCGCATATCACACATAAACACAAACTGCAGTTAAAATCGCAAAAGGAGGAAGTCCGATTGCTGAACTAGTTTCTGGCTGTGCCATATTGACACGACCACGACCACGATGTCAATCGCCATAGATAGCGCGCCATGTTATAGAGATGTCAAATGACCGAGATAAACGTGTCATGGAACTGCCATTAGGACCATAACGAAATTCTTTCAGACGAATGCTTTATCAACTAGAACAAAGAGAAAAAGTATCAATTTTTTGGGACCCGAGTTTTCCAGCAAGCAACAATATAAAATGACTTCACTGATAAACAAAGACCGGATGTACTTAAAGGTGAGATACACCACAAAAAGGGTGTTGAAGCAAAGTATACACTGTGAATCAATTTGAAGCAAGACAAGTACAAGAGTAATGAGCGAACTTCACTCCTGTTGAGACAATCTGAATCTACAGAAGAAGACAATGTACACGCCAGAAGTAAGATTCCTAAACCGAGTCTGCTGAAGATTTCAAAGATACGGGAAGACCTTTATGCTTACCTAATATTCCAACGGGCTGCTACTCATCCCAAGCCCTTCGTCTTCGTTTGTTGGAAAGGAATAGGGTAGCAATGCGGCAGTTTTCACACATCTTTGAAGTAAAGCAGGATGAAGCTGCGCTATAGCGTCCATTCTTTCCATCTCTTGCCGCAACACGTTCAATCTGTACAGTAATATTTTGTTTAGTGATACAAAAATGTCAAAATGCATGTGGCGAGATAACGGAAGTCAAATAATAGTTAAGAAATGCGATTACTACTGGGACAGAAATAGAGATCCGCTACCTCTCAAATTTGGCCACGACATCACTGTTCCTTATCTTTTCCGGTACCACTTCTAGCCGAACGATCCCTTCACTGATCGAAATTTCTGCGAGAAGTTTGCCTTGTTTGAATAAAGTCTAAATTGAACATGTTTTACTCAGAGAATAGAAGACTAAACAAAGTAAAGTTCCAGTGTGATCTCTATTGCAACTTTCAACAAATATACCATTGGAAAACACCCACATTAATAATTTGAAATTTCTAGACAAAAGTGCAGATTGTAAAAAATCATTATGAACAGGGAAAATATGTAAAAGAAATGACAGAGACGACGTTTACCTCCATGATTTCAACGGCACTGTCATTGTCAAGATGAGCTCTAGCTGCCAAATCAGATAATGGGATAGAAGAAAATGACTGAAAAGGGAAGCATCAAAAAAGGAGGACACCGTCCTGATTAAGGAAATTCACCTTGGCAACGGACATGACAGCCTTTTCACGTAGTTCCTTGATAATCCGATTGATAAGTCCCACAGATCCGTCCTAGAAAGCGTATTTTCTTTCCTTGCACACACATTTTAAACATCAATTTTACCTCATTGAAGATCTTACGATGTTCATTTAGTACTTTCTCAACAGCCCCTGCTTTGTCGCCTGTGGACTGCACAGCCGTGGCAAGGGCAGTGTATGGATCTCCGACTAATTTCCACGCACGTGTCAATGCCGATGAGCGTCCGACGGGCATTATCACTTTACCAGAGTACAGTAAACTGGCTAGATGGAATCTCAAAAAGGACAATTTACGCCAACAAAAACGAGAAAGAAGAAAGTGCACATACTTCTTTAACGCATCCAACTGAGCAACACTTGTAGCAGAACCAGGTACAAGGATAGCGCTCTCCAACAACGAAATAGCACGGCGTAATTCGTTCTAAACAAAAAAAAAGCGCAGTTTTATAGAATAGTGAAAAAGCGATAAACCAACTCGTCTCATGAGCAGCAATGCTCCATAGTAGAGGTATAGTACCATATACTTAGATTCAAAATAAATAGGTGTTTGAGCGGCTACTCCTCGTTGTTTTCTTACATGGCTCACGGGCTCCGTGGCGGAATCTGACGTTGTAGCAGGGTTCTGTGATACACAGTCGATTACAGATCCCAGGAAGCTCAGATAACGCTAAGCTTGGGTATACAATATGTGAATTGGTGAGATGCCTTCCATTACTGGGCAACTATGTTACCTAAGAAATTCAAGATCCTCTCGAATAATCGAAACAAAAGAAAGCAAAAGAAAGTTTACGATGTTTATAATGAGCTATCACGATATGAACAATTCTACAAGAAAAAACGGGATAGAAACTCAATATAGCTTGCCTCGTTGACTAGCGCAGTAACGTTTCTGTAGATGTACGGTAATGCAGCTTCCACATTATTCAATCGCAAGCAAACGGCAAACAAAGCAGAATGAAGAGATGAGACTACACATTCGTTCGGATCCACTAGCAATCGCATAGCGGCAACAGCCAGATCCAAACCGATTTGGGGCTGTAAAACATCATAAAGTCCCCCAGAGGTTTTATGAGATGATCCCACCTCGTTCTTCTTCCTAAAGCAATAGGTGACGGCATTTCTCGCAAATGGAAATACTGAAACAAGAGAAGATATCCATAATACAATAAACAATGAAAGGAAGATCTACCGATGTCAGGGACAAGCTTCAGATGCTCTGCGACCAGGTTTCCACTGTCAATCAAATGCTTCAAGAATTCTACGGCCCGATCAGCACCCTGCTCATTATTTTTTTGGATAGAGCTATCATATAGAGCTTTTAAAGCAGCCATCATAGCAGCCTGCAAAGGAAGAGCAAAGTAGAAAAATATTGAATGAGAACAAAAAAAGCCAGAAAAGCAAGACTTTTTTCTTCTATGCAAAAATTGCACGGTAGAGGAGAAATGCACTTACAGATCCTATCTTCGGGTTGCAGTTCGACAAAAAATGCTCAATTTCGCCAGGTTTCTTTTCGAAAACATCTTTATATTTCCTTGCAAGTTCTGCTACTTTCTCAGGAGCACCTTCTGAAATACAACAGATGCAAGTCTAAACGCTGAGAAAAACTAAGAAAATTTAGAAAAAAAAGGAAACTAAGACGATTTAGAAAAAAAAGAAATGTTCGTACCGTCTCCTTCGGGGATCTCATTGATGATCTTGAGCAAACCTTCAATATTAGGCATATCGGTGAAAAGTTTCGCAATAATAGCACTCATTCAGAAACGTAGAGCTGCGTCTAATTACCTGAAACATTTATTTACAGAATATGTACAAAGTTACAAGCTTAAATGACAGCGAGCGAAGTGTACAGATACGAAAGTAACGAATTACAAGTTGAATTTTGGAATGACAAGAACAGGAACACCGAAAATGTTAATAAAGCTACAGATGTATGAAGATGACCTATTAATTTCCATGTGCAAAAGCAGGCATACAGTCATGCATGCATAGTAATTTCTGGCTAAGCTTATCATACATGACATTGAGCTCATCTTCACTTTTCTCACTACCAGTTTTATCCAGATTATAGAGCGCAAGATGAAGATTGGTAACATCTTCGTGCTCTTTCTTCATCGCACGCATGCTCTCCATTTGTTCATCGGTGAGTGCGCGCATTTTGCCGCTTCGAAACTCTTCCAAAAGATTGAGCATGGAGCGCTCAAGATCGTCGAGATCGGGATCGCTGTGCTCCACTCGGAGCAGCTCCTTATGCTCTGGCCTGAATTCTGTCAAAAGTGTTTCTTCTAACGAATCCGCCTTCCATTCATAGATAGGAGCGCCTGCTTCGTTTCCTGGAAAGAGAATATTCAGCGCATAGCGCAACCTCAATAAATATTCGCTTGAAAAAGGAAATACTCAAAAAATACTGCTCAGTGAATGCCCAGCTGCCTATTCACTAGAAAAGCTTTTTTGATTGCATATGCGAGAACGGCGACACAATGAACAACCAAGTCTTATAAGCTCAAAGCAGCATTCACAGAGTTGTGGTCGGTGATACTACGGTGTGGAGGTTCACTAACTAGGAAATGGCTGAAGCCGCTTCCTAATTAGTGGGCTGCAAAAGGCGAATTTCGAAGCGCCGAATTACTTCACAAGGTAGATGCGGCACACGCAGCCCTGCCCAGTGACGCGGATGATGTGAAATTAGAGATTGACTAGCTGGCTTACCCGGCTCCGCCGTATCCGGACCAAACTTGGCACACATACACTTCGGGCCCTGGCGGGTGTCACAGTCCACTTTTCGTTATCGATCGATGTCGATTTTACCGATTTTTATCGATTTTTTTGCAGAGTTCACTTACAGGGCTAGGAGTTGGCACAGGGGGCGAAGTGAGCATGGGGATTCCGAATACAACATTAGTTTTCAGGATCGTCCATTACTTTTATCGATTTTATCGATTTTTTTTTGTAAAGTTTGACCTGCGGGGCTGGGAGTTTGCACAGGAGTGTAATCGAGCATGCTGATCACCCCCCTTGGGGATGATCAGCATGCTCGATTACCCCCCTGTACCAACTCCCAGCCCCCTAGCTCAAACTTTGCAAAAAAATCGATAAAATCGATAAAAGTAATCGATAATCCTGAAAACCAATATTGTATTCGGAATCCCCATGCTCGATTACCCCCCTGTGCGAACTCCCAGCCCCCTAGCTCAAACTTTGCAAAAAAATCGATAAAATCGATAAAAGTAATCGATAATCCTGAAAACCAATATTGTATTCGGAATCCCCATGCTCGATTACCCCCCTGTGCGAACTCCCAGCCCCGTAGCTCAAACTTTGCAAAAAAATCGATAAAATCGATAAAAGTAATCGATAATCCTGAAACCCAATATTGTATTCGGAATCCCCATGCTCGATTACCCCCCCTGTGCCAACTCCCAGCCCCGTAGGTGAACTCAGCAAAAAAATCGATAAAAATCGATAAAATCGATATCGATCGATGACGAAAAGTAGCCTATGACACCCGCCGGGGCCCGAAGTGTATGTGTGCCAAGTTTGGTCCGGATCGGTTCAGAAATGGAATTTTCTATTCGGAACATACGTACACACAGACATACATACAGACAGACAGACAGACAGACAGACATACAGACAAACAGACATTCAGCTTTATATATAAGATACAGGGCCCAAAATATCTAGAGATGTCGAAAATCCATTTTCACGATAAAAGACAAATTTGGACATTTCCAAATAATCCGAGGTCCAGCTTCGGATCCGTTACTTTTGCCCCATTTACGTTGACGGTCAGAACTGTCTCTACCGCATTAATTCTGCAGCGATTTTCTTAAGTTGTGGGTAGACTTTTCCATCATCTTAGCAAGTATTCCCGCTATTATACAGCGCTTAAGTCTTATCAAAGCGAAATGTGAAAGGCTTCAACATGGAGAAAGCTCATGGTACTTCTCACTAGCAAACATTCGCAAAATCGACGAAAGAAAACATGAACTGCCCACCTAACTGCATTTCAAAAAAGTCAATTCAAGATTTAAATAGCAGAGTCAAGTGAACAGGCGCATTGCACATTGCGCTGCAGCGGCGTACGCGGCGTACGCTGCGCGCGCGGCGTACGCTGCGTACGCGGCATACGCGGCGTACGCGGCGTACGCCGCGCGCGCAGCGTAGTATGAAGGAACCCATACAAGTGTTTGCTGTTTACCCTAATTTCACAAGTACGAGACGCACGTTTTCCGATTTTTCAAGCGAGCCGCTCAACCGCCTCACTGTGTTTTGGAAAACGAAACCTAAGCCACACGATACTCTCAGGCTATTACGCAGCACTAGACGCACCGTATAGGGTCACGGGTTTCGGTGTAAAGGGTACTCTGTTCGCGAATTTTTTCGGTGTTTCCAGGCTGATCAAATTTGAAAAAAAAACAAGCGCGTCCTGTACTCGTGAAATTAGAGTCATTGCATTTGGATCTCAGCGGAGAACAAAATTCACGTAGAGCATATAACGCGCTTTGCGACAATGATGTTGCGAAGTTGACATATTCAAAACAGAGCTAATTTTTAATTTTTGCTGTTACAGAAGAGCTTATGTTATAATGTGAGTTGCCCCCGGTGGAGTGGTATGGTCAAATGATAGTCATCCAGCAAGAGTTCCCCTTAGATGTCTTGTAATTATGCTGAAGTCGCATGAAGTTTCATCGTGAAGATTAGAAACTCAAGAAACATACAATTGTTATTGGATACTATTCTCGTGAATTTGTTGTAACATAATTTCTTCCCACTTGAGTCGCAAGCATTCTTTACGCGATTTCACTCGCTCTCCGACTTGGTAAAATCCAACTGTTTAGTCATAATAGACGCATTCTAAATGTACAAAAGATAAAGCAATTTATTGATGTACCATATTCAAACACTATGCATTTGTATCCTGCGAATGTTGGATTTAAAGACATCTGGCAAATTGTCAGATTGCGTGGCGAAAATCGCGTGAATGTCCCCGGCGCTTAGGCAGAATATAAACAGCGCAAATTCGACTTAGGAGATTGGCCAGAAAAAGATTACCGTACCCCTTGTGTGAAAATGTTATAAGCACTGGACCTCTTATATGATAAAAAATAAAGAAGTTAAGAACTAAGGATAACGAAATGCAAAATTCGCAGGAACATCCTATTATATAAAATAATGGAAACCAGAACCCCCGTTTTTCTGATCGGATTTCAAGATCGTTGCGGGAGCCTGGACACCGTACCCCCTTCCCTCTTGAGTTTGATGAAAAAAAGGCGATTGAGGCGCGTAAACTGCAGATGCAATGTAGTCTCCATGGTCTAGTGGCTAAGGGGTGTGACTCTCAGCTGCCAGACTCGGGTTCGATTCCCCACTCAGGAATTCCTTTTTGCCACTATCGTTGGCTCCAAAAACAGCTGATTTCTCCACAGATCCTATTATATAAAATAATGGAAACCAGAACCCCCGTTTTTCTGATCGGATTTCAAGATCGTTGCGGGAGCCTGGACACCGTACCCCCTTCCCTCTTGAGTTTGATGAAAAAAAGGCGATTGAGGCGCGTAAACTGCAGATGCAATGTAGTCTCCATGGTCTAGTGGCTAAGGGGTGTGACTCTCAGCTGCCAGACTCGGGTTCGATTCCCCGCTCAGGAATTCCTTTTTGCCACTATCGTTGGCTCCAAAAACAGCTGATTTCTCCACAGATCCTATTATATAAAATAATGGAAACCAGAACCCCCGTTTTTCTGATCGGATTTCAAGATCGTTGCGGGAGCCTGGACACCGTACCCCCTTCCCTCTTGAGTTTGATGAAAAAAAGGCGATTGAGGCGCGTAAACTGCAGATGCAATGTAGTCTCGTCTAGTGGCTAAGGGGTGTGACTCTCAGCTGCCAGACTCGGGTTCGATTCCCCACTCAGGAATTCCTTTTTGCCACTATCGTTGGCTCCAAAAACAGCTGATTTCTCCACAGATCCTATTATATAAAATAATGGAAACCAGAACCCCCGTTTTTCTGATCGGATTTCAAGATCGTTGCGGGAGCCTGGACACCGTACCCCCTTCCCTCTTGAGTTTGATGAAAAAAAGGCGATTGAGGCGCGTAAACTGCAGATGCAATGTAGTCTCCATGGTCTAGTGGCTAAGGGGTGTGACTCTCAGCTGCCAGACTCGGGTTCGATTCCCCACTCAGGAATTCCTTTTTGCCACTATCGTTGGCTCCAAAAACAGCTGATTTCTCCACAGATCCTATTATATAAAATAATGGAAACCAGAACTCCCGTTTTTCTGATCGGATTTCAAGATCGTTGCGGGAGCCTGGACACCGTACCCCCTTCCCTCTTGAGTTTGATGAAAAAAAGGCGATTGAGGCGCGTAAACTGCAGATGCAATGTAGTCTCCATGGTCTAGTGGCTAAGGGGTGTGACTCTCAGCTGCCAGACTCGGGTTCGATTCCCCACTCAGGAATTCCTTTTTGCCACTATCGTTGGCTCCAAAAACAGCTGATTTCTCCACAGATCCTATTATATAAAATAATGGAAACCAGAACCCCCGTTTTTCTGATCGGATTTCAAGATCGTTGCGGGAGCCTGGACACCGTACCCCCTTCCCTCTTGAGTTTGATGAAAAAAAGGCGATTGAGGCGCGTAAACTGCAGATGCAATGTAGTCTCCATGGTCTAGTGGCTAAGGGGTGTGACTCTCAGCTGCCAGACTCGGGTTCGATTCCCCACTCAGGAATTCCTTTTTGCCACTATCGTTGGCTCCAAAAACAGCTGATTTCTCCACGATCCTATTATATAAAATAATGGAAACCAGAACCCCCGTTTTTCTGATCGGATTTCAAGATCGTTGCGGGAGCCTGGACACCGTACCCCCTTCCCTCTTGAGTTTGATGAAAAAAAGGCGATTGAGGCGCGTAAACTGCAGATGCAATGTAGTCTCCATGGTCTAGTGGCTAAGGGGTGTGACTCTCAGCTGCCAGACTCGGGTTCGATTCCCCACTCAGGAATTCCTTTTTGCCACTATCGTTGGCTCCAAAAACAGCTGATTTCTCCACAGATCCTATTATATAAAATAATGGAAACCAGAACTCCCGTTTTTCTGATCGGATTTCAAGATCGTTGCGGGAGCCTGGACACCGTACCCCCTTCCCTCTTGAGTTTGATGAAAAAAAGGCGATTGAGGCGCGTAAACTGCAGATGCAATGTAGTCTCCATGGTCTAGTGGCTAAGGGGTGTGACTCTCAGCTGCCAGACTCGGGTTCGATTCCCCACTCAGGAATTCCTTTTTGCCACTATCGTTGGCTCCAAAAACAGCTGATTTCTCCACAGATCCT